ATACTTATATAAATATAAAAGAAAATAACTTATTTTCACTGTTATCTGCTACTTTAGACACGTACAATAGAGAAATATAGAGCTCTCATCCCTGATGTTATCTATTAAAAAAAAATATGCAGAGAGGTCTCAAGAAGTGCAGATGGCAACGAACTATTTCCCTTTCTGTAAATGGAATCGATAACAATTAAACACGTTCAAACCATTAGAAAGACCTAAAGGCTGCCACTGAAGACTGCCTGCCTTTCACACAATTTTCAGGTTATACGTTTGAAGAACGTCCTTCCTAATGATAAACCGAGTAATTGAGCATTCTTTTAAGAAACACACTTTAATTTCAGCATAAAGTATATCACTAAAGGCAGCAAACATCTGACTAAAGCACAGCTGCAGAGATGCACAGTACATTCCCTACAATAATCAGACAAACGTCACCGAGCCAGACTAAATGCCCTAATATATTGCATATTTCACCATCCAGCCTTGCCTATTCATCAAATGAGTTATCAAACATGAACCTGACTTTCCAACTGACTGCAGACACACACACACACGCCTTCACGAGCAGCCTCAGGGCTTCTGTACCGACTCCGTAATGGTACGTGTTAATGCCCAGGATCAGCTGCAGCACCAGAGGCCAAAGGCAGGGCTTGGTGAACAGCACAAACTCGAACAGTAAAGGCACCCACAAGCGAGGCAGGTGTCTCAGCTGCTGGTCAGATGGGGAGAACGCCCAGTTGCCAGCACACAGGCACCTTGAGCTGCCCTGTCGGATCCTGCCTGGCTTTCAGTTGCTGCTCCGGGAGCGCAGGGTGTCTTGGAAGCGCCACATCATACTTGCGCTGCCCGTCTCGGAGTTCCCAGTGGGGTCTCAAACAGCACTGGATGTCTGCATGCGGCAAAATGGAAAGAGCCCTGGTCAAGAAGGTCACGGAGGCCTAAAGACTGGACAGAACCCACCAAAACCTCATCGGTTATACCGGGAGCTTACTCCTGGGCTCGACTCACTTGCCTGACTCCAGGACAAACTGATGCCATTTGAGACATTACAGGATTATCCAGGAAATCCGCAAGGCAGGTAAGACACACGACCTTCAGAACAGCCACATCCTTCTCTCCCAGCAGCTGTCGGCCAGCTGGGACACCCCAGGACCCTAAAAATGGCTTTAGATTCCTACAGGCAGCCGAGGTGAATGAAGACGATTACATTTGGGTATCTTACTCTGCCTGAACTCCCACCACACTAACGCTCTCTCTTTACAGTGATTTGATGAAAAAACCCCCACAGTTTTGGAAGAAATCTGCATCTTTCAAAATACTTCTGTATTTGAGGAAAGTGCTCTTAGATAGTGTTCATTTTACTGTCCCATGTGAGTTATAATTTAGCATCCAACACAACCTCAGGTTGTTTTGGTGTGTGGGGAGAGACAAGGTGCTTACGTCTGTTAAATCTAATTGAACAAGTAAGCCGAGTCTACTAAGAATAAGGGAAAGAAGATGACTTCTGAATCAAACGCAGGAGAGAAAAGAAACTTTAGAGCCCTCAAATGATAGCTTCTTGACTGATGTGACATCGTTAAGGTTTTATATATAGTGTTCAGATAAGCTTAAAAATGGAAAATTGTGACAAGAGAACCAAAAGATAAGTCACCAAGCAGTAAACAGCGAACCAATGTCTCTCAGAGAGCTTGTTAAACCACAGGGGTTTTTTATAGAGAGATTGTTTTCCGTATTAATGTGCACAAACATCCATCCAGATTTACTGTAAGGAAGCATAACATCTGAAATTTGGTTTGAAGGTAACAGAAAACAACCTTTTGACATGATTTTATCTCTATGGAAAGTCAGAACAGTGGTAACTGTGAAAGACTTCCTCTTAGGCTCCTAATCATTTTCCATTTTTAGGGCATTCTTTAGGAAGAGACCTAAAAATGTCTCTTATCTGAACTTCACCATATCATACTGAAGATCTTTTTCAAGCAAAGAAAAGACTCTTGAGGACAATTTACTCCTTTACTGAAGACAGGGAAGCGCCATTCATTCTTATCCCCCAAGAAAGATGGCAAAGAAAAAAGTTTTTCTAGTTAAGTAACTACACTAAAATTTACTTTTGAAGACACCAGTGTTATTTCATAAAGTTCTTCTCGGCACAAGCCCAAAGTTATAATCCAGATCTTTCCAAATACAAACTGTTAAACATTAACAGAAGGCAATTTTTAAAAGGGCATTAACAGAAGGAATAATCACATAAAAATTAGCAAGTTTAAAAATACTAATACTGAACCTACAATACAACTACTTTAACCAGAAGACCCTGAAATATCAGACCTGAGTATTTATTGATGGCAGTCATGCGCTTTCTACAGTTTAACAGAATATGGCTACATACTACAATGGATTTTTTTTTTCTTTTTAAGGTAATGAAGGATAAATCTCATTATCAGCACACAATTTTACATCGTGTTGGTACCAAAGTACTCGGTATACGCACAAGTAAACTGAACTATGCAGCAATAGTAGCATGTCAGGAACAAACACTCCAAAAAAAAAATAATAAACCAACCCAAACCCAACCAAAACAATAAACAAACCCCCCACAAAAAGAAAACAAACCCCCCAAACCAAATCATAAACCATCGTATTTTAAAGAGCACATGCAAACCCATACAAACCACCTCTAGCTCTCACTCCCTTTTGCATACAACACTCAATGCTGTGATGGGCAGATAATCTGTTAAGATTTGGTTGGTGCACACACAAAGCCAAAGAATCGATTTTCTGGACACTAAGAACTTACTGCATAAGCCATATTTTTAGGGTGAAAAGCAACGAACAAGGAACATCCATGTAGTACTAGCTTCTCATCCAAATGAATGCCACAAGCAAATGGCAGTAACTAACGTTTCCTCTTATAGCTTACACCGCAGGTACCCACTCAACCCTACTTAAAATAGGTGGATAACATCGTTACAGATAATTTAGCAATACCATCTTTCTCATGAACAGCGCTTCTCTGTTTAAGAAAAGCTCAACTGTCATATTACTTCTACTCACATGAAAAATTGGGAACCATTGGTATGTTTCCCTCGGTTTGCCATTGACAAAAGGAACGCTCTGTCATGTTTGAGAATAAAGTTTTCATCTGTTTGAAGAAAAAATATGTTTGTCAGATTTTCCCTGCCAAGGAATGCAAGTCTAGTTTTCTTAGTAACTTATGGATGCTATAAGGAGAAATTCTGCTGCTGCTGAAGAAACATGAACAGGTTGGAAAAAATCAAGTTTAAACAAGCCTCTCAAAAGTTACAGTAGAAGAAGTTGAGACAGAAAGCATTCTTAAAGGAAAAGTTCAGATGTAGCACAAACGTTTCTAGTGAAAAAAAAAATAAAGTCATTATGTCTTCGATAAACGTTAAATTCTCATGGACTTGGATTTAAATCCAGCACTTTCTGAATAAGAAGGCGGCTGGCAGACTTACTGACATCCTAGAACGAGACTTAACACAACACAATACTGTTATTTACATAGCATGCACCTCAGGTTGAAAGATTAGAGAAAAAGCCATTCCCCTGGTATGGCATGTTAAAAGCCACCTGTCCATCTGAAACTGGAAGTCTCAAAACATACAAGAGGAAAAAACCCCAAACCCTAGATACCTGAATGAGAAACTAAACAACATATTCTTCCTGCAACCCAAGTATAAAAATCAATTAAGACTAAATTAAACATGCAGTTTATACTCTAGTGAATTACAGAGGACTTCTGGTTGGACAGCGTAACACAGAACCAGGCATTCTGAAGTTCCTTTTCCAAGCTAAAGACAGTAATTTGCGTGTCCAAAGCCGTTATTTTTAAGATTACGTATCAAACCACAGCGCTGCAGGTTTAGCACTCACCGCCTTTCGAAACAAGCCCTAGTAACTTCTTGGTCAAAAGACTTTCTTTTGGCTAAACACACAACTACGACTCTGCTTAAAACAAACTTAATGGCATGCACTTAACCACGCAGAGATATTGCGAAGCACACAGAACCCGGGGCTCCTACATAAACACACCTAGTGCCTTCATTAACACTTGAATACCACTGTAACTACCTGGGGGGTTTTTTGCAAGGGATAATTGTATGTCTTTAAATGAATGCTTTATAAACTCACCATTTTCCTTCCAACAACAGATTTTAAAGAGAGGTAAATGTACATTTATTTACAAATTCTTTGCAAGTAAAATAACTTGTGTAGCATATAAACAAAGTCAAACACTTTTAGAAACGAACACTAAGCATACAAACCTTGAGTAGGGAAGGGGAGGAAAGGGGCATTAACAAAAGAAGAAATAACTGTTTAGAGCTGGAAATTATGCCAGTATTCTTTCTCAGAATAAGTCATTAACCCTCAGAGAGGTTAGACACAGAACTCTTCATTTCTCCAAGCAACACAGATATCCATCTACAAACGGACGTATCAGTTGTCTATATATTTACTAGGGAGGGTACAAGGGAACAGAGTTTGAATTTGTGTTACTGAGCTTTTGTCTCTTACCTTTTCATTTTGCAAAAGACCACATTCTCTATAAACAAAAGAATATGTTGACAGTTTTAGGCAGGAAGATAGGAGTTTATTCATGAATAAAGTTGCCTAACCTCCATGCTGAAAGTCATGTTTAATCAATAATGTTAGCCTTAATTAATCGTCAGTTAAAGTTAAATATTACCAAAAAAAAATTATCCGAAAGTCATGCATATAAAAAGAATTCTCATGCAACATTAGTTTCATGCAAAAGGTGATCTATAAGTAGACCTGTTTTCATTAAGTAGCTTGGGAATCAAGACTTATCTCAGAACTGAATAAAGAATCTGTAAAGATGTGTTTCCTCTTACCTTTAAAATAGCCACCATAAATAGATTCACCTCCTTTTCCATTACCTGCGCATTAAAAAGCGTCAATTAAACCTTTCGTTTCCTTTATGGACAAAAAAGCTGTATGTAACATCCCACCAGCTCATACCAAACCAGGACACTCTGGCCAGTTACTAGTATCTGAGCACAAGCTCCTTCATTAAACGTCACAGCCGTGCATTATCCTGGTGACACCCAAAATACTGAGAAGGAAGACCGCCTCGGTGCCTCTGAATTCTGGAAAGGCTGAAGCCAGGCTCCCAAGGCTCCTCTCCAGCATTTGCTAAAGCAGCAGCAGACAGAAAAACAACAGCAAGCAAAACCAAACCAAACCAAACGCCAACAGCAGGTACGACCAACAACCTTGCCTGGCTCCCAGCAGCCGAGAGACCACTAGAACAGATGAGGTAAGAAAGCAGCTAGGAGTTTTAAAGGCATCCATCCTGCTCGACTCAAAACAAGACATTCCCTCTCTGTGACCATCTTATCAGGTACAAGATCTCAGGACACAGCAAAGATGATACGATATTTTGGTAAGGAGGGGTATTGCAGGGAAGGACAACAGGCTAAAACATTATCTTGCGCACACACCGCAAGGAAAGAGACTTCTGGAAAATCTCTTTTTAGAGACTCATCCATTAAACACTGGTAGCTCGTTCGCTATCTTCGTATGTTCAAACTTATTCAAACAGTTACGTCCCTGTATCAACAGGGCGTTATTTGTGTCCGCAGTAGAGGCAACACTAAAGTGAAAAGCAGTTAAGACTACAGTCTGCATTTGAATTGTTTTAATAAGAAAGGTGCCATCAGCTCCAGCGAGTGTTTTTTTTCCTTCTTTAACTTAACACATTTTTCTAAACAAATATTTCTTCAGTTGAAGCATTTCAGAATTTCAAACGTTAACAGAGAAATCAGTGATCTGTGCTACACTTCACTGAAATATTTTTATGGCACTGTAGTACTTTCACAGCGTTTTCTAAAGCTACACTATAACCACATAAGTTATAACATTTCTGTGCCATGTAAACTATTTCCGTTTTAAAAGCGTATTTTACCTTCGCTGAAGTCCCCACCCTGAATCATGAAGTTTTTAACCACACGATGGAATGTGGTGCCTTTGTAACACAGCTTCTTTCCAGTTGTTTTGCCAATTCCTTTTTCACCTGCAAGAAGGTTAAACAAAAGGGATCTACAAATTGTCACTGAATAAATCCCAAGGGTTTTACCTCCCTAGGGCTAACGGATATAAGAGGCTCGTCAGGACAGCACAACTGTAAGATAACACAGTCCTACCTGTTGCCTTTTTACTGTTCATTAATAGCAGAAGGGACCCCCTTACAAAGGGACTCTCAAGTAAAAATTAGGTTGTTTTTTAAAATAAAAATTCCTCCCAAGAAGGACTGTACTTATTAGCAATCCATTCAGGACAATTTATAACAAAACAAGAGCTTATGAGTGATGGGTTAACTATTTTCTGTGGTTATAGCTACACTGCTGTGTTAGCTGAAGCTTACACCAGAGCCCTTTTCAAACCACTTATACGTCTGGATGCGGCAGCTGAATCCCAGAGCAGATATGTGAGCTCGGAACAGACTTCAACTCGGTTTCAATGAGATCCACTCTTGGAAAAGTGGGATTGAGCTACTCCAAGCATGTGTCACATCTTCACCAATCCATCCACAGCGTCAGGCCACCCCTCAATGCCAATCTGTCCGGCGCCAGCCCTTCCCACCTCGGTATGAAACTCTCCCATTTCTGAAAGGACTGACAGAACAGGGGAGCAGAATTGTGTATCCAAGAACCATTCCAGGACAAACTGAATGAGAATCTTAACGGGGGGGGAAAGGAAAAAAAAAAAAAATCCCCCCCAACCTGAACTGGTACCAGGGCCATTCTCACCCAGCAGCAGAAGCCAAGCCAGGCCAGGCCATAGTACTTGTTAACCCTTTCTGAGCCTCAGGTTTCCTAAGAAGTGGCACGCAGGGGACCCCCGGTACAGCTGTAGCTCAGGTCTGCTAGTGATTTTTGAGAAAGACATCACAGAACCTCGAGCTTCATTAACATTTCTTCCAGAATTTAGAAGAAAAATTGCACTGGGCGTATGGACGAGGGTACTACGACTGGCAGGGCAGAAATCCTACGCAGTAGGTTCATATGAGGGATTTATACTGGTCCAGTCAAGGGAACATCAAAAGACATCGACTTCAGCTTCCAAGAACAGGGGAGTTGGCAGAACACAGCAATGAAGAGTAACAGGGGTATCATACCCTGTGCAACAGCTAAAATCCCACATAAACCACATGTGCAGGAGATGTTCTGTAACAAGGCAGGACAAATAACCCAGCTTCATCCCACCTCTAGTTACGGAACAGGCATTTGACGCTCCGTCAGGGGACACTTCACCAGTATGTTCTGTACCACAGAGTGCCCTCAGCACTGCACGTGTACTGGTTACCCAGAGCCAACGCTCCCCTTTGGCAATCTATCGTTCCTCCACCCAAAATCAACTGAAGGCTAAACCACCCCAGATTTGCCATTTCCAACAGCCCATCGCTGCCAGGATGAAGGCAAAGAGCAGTTTGTGGTACAAAACCCACTCATGCCATTGCTGCTTATTGTACTGGCAGAAGCCTTCACTCAGTCAATACAACTTATTTTCCAGTACCCTGACTCTCCATACCCATTACCCATGCCTTCTCCCACCCTATCTTTATTTTCCACAGAAGCCATCCAAGCTTTTTATTACAGGGGTGGACACCCCCCGCCTTTCCCCCCAAAATACGCCCCTCTTTGCTACAGCACTGGAAACCTCACCTCAATCAACACCAAGGAGTAGCTGCCTACATTTTCGGTCATTTTTCAGCACATCCCTCAGGCTATGGATAATCCCCTTACAGAATGGGATCCTGCATTGCACTTGACCACATAATTGAGCTGGTACATTAAGGTGACCTCTAGACCACAGCCAGAAGCTGTGTCCCTTTTTTTATTCTCCTTTATGGTATCGCCAAGACAGCACAGTCCCTATCATAATAAATGGCAATATTTGCAATGTTCCATTCCTTTCATGCATGACACAACTATGAGCAAAGTCATAAAACTTCCCCATAAGCCACAACCACTTAAGACAACGCACTTAAGCTGCTCAACTCCCTGCAAGAGCCGTACTATGTCACTCTGATTCTCAAAACCAATCCTCGGACTCCCAGTCAGACAAAAGATAAGAGACCAGTTGTTCCACCAGTTAGAGCTGCAGCACCTCCCTAAGCTCAGACTTTTCTGCAATGACCAGTACAAAACTCACGGGCTGGGCTTCTTTATTTTGTTTATGGTCACATACTAGCCTTATTCTTTTTGCCTTAAATATGCCTGAATTCTGTCTGAAAAAGAAAAAAAAAAAATGTCTTCAAGCCCCACCTACTTGCAGCCTCCCTGCCTAAGCAGCTCCTTCCCATGTGCTGCAAACCACTTGGAACTGGGATGGTGGAGGAGAACTTGGTGATTGCACGGGACAACCCATTAGCTGAGGGCGGCATCACACGAGGGCCTTTATCAAAGTGCCCTTCTCCCTCTGGCAGGTGAACGTTGCTCTCACGCCCTATTAACACTCTGCACTGCCAACCCAACCCGAGATATTTTGAACCAGGTGCCCAACAGCGGTCTTGGTTCGAGATTATGAGAAGAGAAGCTCCTGACAAAAGCACCAAAGAGCAGATGGGCTTGTGCTTATTGAATAAGTGGACCGACTGAAGGACCTGCAAATGCCAGTTTGCAAGTCCAGATGTTTTAGTTGAAATGCAAGGAGCCTCTGGCTGTCAAGGCAGACAGCGTTCTTTCACAGTAGCCAGGTCTATTTCTGACAGCCATGTCAGGCTGCAGGAAGGCAGCCAGAATCTCCCTGTCCTCCTCCATCTGTTTCTGACAAAAACATCCTGCCTTGCCTCGCAGAGATTATGGAGGGGGCAGCAAGCATGACGATGGGAACGGCATTTCAATCACTGAGCTCCAGTCTTTCTCTCAGGACATATCCCCTTGCCTTGTGACAAGTGAAGCCGCTCTTCACAACGACACAGTAGAAGTGTACAGCCCAAATCAAGTTGCTGTGAGGTCCCTAACAGAACAAGTGAGGACATCTGGTACTCTGTAGCCATGTTGCCTTTATCATAGAATTGTTTAGGCTGGAAAAGACCTTTAAGACCATCGAGTCCAACCAATAACTCAACACTGCCAAGTCCACCACTAAATCACATCCCTAAGTGCAACATCTACAGGTCCTTTAAAGAACTCCAGGGATGGCGACTTCACCCCTTCCCTGGGCAGCCTGTTCCAATGCTCAACAACCCTTTCGGTGATGAAATTTTTCCCTACGTGCAATCTAAACCTCCCTTGGTGCAACTGGAGGCCTTTTCCTTTCATCCTGTGACCTGGGAGAAGAGACCGACCCCCACCTCACCATAACCTCCTCTCAGGTAGCTGTAGAGAGCGATAAGGTCTCCCTTCAGCCTCCTCTTCTCCAGGCTGAACACCCCCAGTTCCCTGAGCCGCTCCTCACAGACCTGTTCTCCAGACCCTTC